AGCATGGCTGGCTGGGGAATTCTGGGAGTTGAAGTCCACTCATCTTAAAGTGGCCAAGTTTGGACAACACTGCACTAGAGGTATCTATTTTGATAGCAGCCACATGTAACACTTAGAGGGTATGATGTATGAGTTCCTATAACGCTGTATGAACTACCAATGCCAGACAGTCTGCATCTTATCACCATCTGTTTTGTAAATGGCCATTTATAAATCAATAATCAGCCCTAATTTCTTGCATTTTACTTTGACTTCACTGTATACTACCCGTCCGCTGTGCCTGGGTCTATGCACACGCAGTCCTTTAGGATTATACGCCCTCATCTGATTTAATCACAATACGTTTATTAGCCTTGAAGATACCCAAAAGCTCTTCACTAGGTTATAGAGAAAACTACTGTAGCAAACCTAAAAGGAGACACAAATTTTACTAAACACTCTTAACTTCCAACTCCTGCGCAGGGTTACTAAGACCGGAAGCAAATCTCAGGGTCACAAAGTACTATATCCTTTCTTTCCAAGTATGCATACAAAAAGATCAAGGTTGCGGAAAAGCATCGCCCTCCTTAAAACCCCTGAGCACGAAACACTGATCAACAAGTAGTGACATTTCACGCAGCCCGAATATCTGCCAATCCTCTCATTTACCGCCGACAGCGAAGTCAGCAACTACTGTACTACAGCGCCACTGCCCGCCTACCCCGTAGAAGAAGGAGGTAAAATTGACGCAGCCCGCACGTCCACTTAAGCGATCTCGCGTTAGCTACGTCATCTCCGCCCGGCCTCGTTTAGGGAATCTTGTTCCTCCTCTCCCGCTTGCTTTCTCGGGCGGTGCTTCGGCAGGCCGAGACGCCAGCCGCCAACGGCGTGTCGCGTGACCACCCGTCGAATGACGTAGGAGGAAGAAGAAGACGCCATTAGAAGGAGGCTGAGCGAGACGCCCCGGGGTGGGTGGAGAGTAGCCCAGTCTTTTTTCCCCTTCATCTCCCCTTCTCTGGCTTGCCCCCCTCGCAGTCCTCCTTCGCGCGGCCGCCTCTCCTTCTTCTCCCGCTGCCCTTTTGCGGTTATCTTGGACTCTGCGCTCAGCGCCCCGTATCAGAGCAGAGCGGGGTTCGGCGGTTTGCCGATGTGAGGCCGCGGGAGCGGCGGCCACTTCGCTGCGGATGGCGACGGCAGCGGCCAGTTCTGGCGCGGGAGGCGGCGGCGCCGGTGCCGCCGCTGCCGGCGGGGGGGGGGGCGCTGTCGTGCGGGGCCCCCGCTGGCGCTGGTGC